AATCAAACATCATGTTGCTTCTTCCATTGATTTCAGCGAAGTTATTAAAGATTTTTCAGCCAGTAAATCAAGAAGGGCTGAATTTTGTAACATCAGTAAACATTCTTAACTAAAACTAATGTAATAAACACGACTCTTAGTCAGGACTTATTGTCTTTATAAATTATTTAGAGTAAGAGGTCATTTTGCACACACGTACACTTTTATTGTTAATGCAAGGGGGCGGCAGTAACAGTCACTCGCCCAGGGCGGCAGATTACCTAGTTACGCCACTGCATGGGAGGACACATCACCTGGTGGAGCTCCTTTAGAGCCCATATTTTTTAAATATCTACTGGGACTAAATCCAGGGAGGCAGGGCTATTATCTTCATAGCCCTACAAATTGCAACTCCTTGGAGGGCCAGAGCTGATAGCCAAGTGGCTTATGACTTGGATGTAATACTAATCATACAGAAATTTTGGATTGAATTCACCCCCTCCTCTGAAATTTTAATCCAACTTCAGTATCATCTGCCTTTCCAAAATAAGTTCCATGAGTGACTAAATTAGAAATTTAGTATTTTCCACTTCTGTTTCAGTAGAAGAGGGAATTTAATAGAAAATGAAGATAGGTTCAGGCTTCAGAGAATTGCCCTAGATTTAGTTAGTAGCCAAAAAAGAAAATCAGCAACTTTCGTCTCCTATTTGTGTTACTCTGCAGCAATAGTTGGTCTCTCAACCATACATGGTCTCCATGTCAGGCCACTTCACATTGTTATTGACATAAGTAATGAAGCTAACATGCAGTAATGTAGAATTCTTATTCTAAATTAAAGTTCAGGACCACTGAAATTGTACACTTTGGAAGCAAAGATATCTGCATTTCTTGTTGTATAAAAATAATTTGCATGTTTGTTTTGTAATTGAGAAAATAAATTCATGTTGAATGTTGACTTGTGATGGAATTTTCATATTTTCTGTTTTCAATTTTTTGGCCCTACTGGATTTGCCTCAATGTTTGATAACTTTCTTTTGCCTTTTTTTTTCATTAATGGTATGGAATAAAGTAAAACTTTTTTTTTTCTGGAATATGCATTAACCTTTTCCACTCTAATTTTTTTTTTCATGTGTTTTCTCCGGTAGCTCGTATTTTTTACCGCATAAAACGAAAAAATGAAAATACGTAATTTTTTCCGACAAAATTTGGTGCAGCAAGGTGACCCACCCGAGTGAATGAAGAGACTTTTAATCTGTGGTATACTATACTGCACCAAACGAGTGCAAGAGTCAAAGTACCAATGGGCGAGTATACTTGCCCATTCGAGTGGAAAAGGTTAAAGAGCTGAAGAGAAAAACACTTACATTGGAGCAACAATGCAATTAAAAGAGACCTCAGTCCATGTACTTTTTTTTTCCATTGTTTCTGATTCTGTGACCTGTCCTTGGATTCAACACCAGATTCAAGTTTAATCTGTACAAATCCAATGACATACATGGAAGTAATTATTATGCTGCCAAAAATGCCATTCCCTCTCTTAAACAGTGAACAGCTTTAGTTGTCCTCCACGATATAAAATCTTGTTTTTCACATTTCTTTGAGACACAAATCTACTATCACAAAAAAATAGCAGTAAGTTATCCTAGGCCAGGAAAGAGAAAATCACTCAAAGTTCTGAATCACATTTGAGGCAGAACTACACATGGTCCTCTTCCTGTTTGAATTCATGTCCTAGCAAGAAAGAAAAGAGACATGGTTATAGGGAACATGTGTGAAAGAAGCCAAGAAGAACCAGACAGCCTTGGAGCTTGGGATCTGTTCAGGCAAATACCTCCTTCACCACTGCTGGTTTTTTTTTGTTGAAAAGGTACATTACTAAACACTTGGTATAAGCTTTACAGCTGAAGGAAACACCACAGGATGATACTTGACATCTCCATCTCTTGCTTTATGGACATAATGTCTCAGAGGTGCCATGCTGGGACAAAATCATCTCGTGTCACTGTTCCTTCATGAACTCATATATCAATTCAGTAATTTGTAGTAATGAGGTAATAAAAGCTCTCATGTGTAACTTTTTTACATCAATCTGCCATGCATGCATTCTGGTGTAATGGGAAGGGGCAATAAGAAGCTAAAAAAAAATATAGTGATATTGTAAGAAATGGCACAGCCCTACTATATGGTTCTCAAAAAGTTGTGCAACTCAAGCTGGGTAACACTGTAACTTCTGGTCCTTATTTAAAGGTTTACAAAGAGTTTTCTTTAGGTGTCAAGTTTGAGTGCTCTTCTTTGATGTGTATATTAATCAGGTGATTGCTTTCATGGCTTTATACAAAAAGAATAAGCCTGAAAATTTCAGGAACGAAAAGGGGTATGGGTGGGAAAAACAAAAATATTTATAAATGTTTTAGTACATGGTAGTATAGCAGTAGTGTTTTAGTAGTATAAAGGATCAACATGAAAATGGAATAATCTAATGCTCCCTCAAGTGTTTATTTTTTAATCAGTTGAGGAGTGCTTGAGCTTTTTGCTTTGCACTACTACAGAATCTGATCTGTGCTTAAAATCAACAGTCATATTTATCATAGAACAGCTATGACATAGATCAGCGGTGTCCAACTCTGGGGGTCTTGCTAATGAATCTCACAACATGTGCACCACATTTTTAATGTGAACAAGTGAAATTGGCAGCAATTTTCCAAAATCAGCTGTTAAAGAGGAGTTCACAGGCCGGAGAAAATGAATTGGTGGGTCGGATCTGGCCCATGGGCTGCCAGTTAGACACCCCTGACATAGATGAATGTAGTGCATCTTATACACTATTTCCGGATTGAGTTCGTACCATCCCCCTATAGTGGTGAAAGAAGGAAACACACATTTCCAGAGGTTTCGCCTCAGCAGGCGATAGACAAAACCACCCATGTGTAAGATGTCACTACCTGCAATCAATGGAAGTGCTCCTATAGGGGTATGAATTCAATCTGGAAACAGTGTATCTACAGGATGAGTCAGAAGCTTTTTCATCCCTCCACTTGTAATCCAGAAATGATAATTGAAAATTATAAGCACAATCATAATTGTGGTTTCTTTTTTTTTATCTTTTAAGATACTATACTTTTGATCAGATAGCATATGAAAAGTACGTTACAGAGGAACTTTTAGGGGTTGATTGGATTTTTGTTATACGACAGGAGGCACATGGTGCTGGTTCTGGCTTTTTCATCATACACTGGATTGCAGAATAGGAAAAATATAATGAAACCTATTTCCATCATCTGAGGGTTAAAGAATACTTGAGGGATGTTGGTGATTTCCTTTCTCTATCTTCAGCTTCAGAAGCAGCAGGTTAAGTTTTGGATCACCCCACTGGAATCTATGCCACTTAGCAGCTAAGGGAGGTAAAAGCAGGATTCTTATATTCTGGTGGTGTTCTGAAATTATCAGATCTTCTCATTAAGGTGTAAGGATGCAAACTCCTTCAAATATCCTATGAAGAAAGACTCACATAAGTATCTGAGTGTAGGGGGCACTCATGAAGGTTCCAGAAAAAGATGAATTGATCCAATAAAATATTGCCAAAATATATTTACATGCAAGAGATCTATATTTGAATCTGACCAGCAAGTGGGTAGGGTAAAAGACCCAGTGACGGACTGGTCCCCTGTGATGAGCCGCAGCACATGAAAATTCCAACAGCTAAGTGTCCATAGCTCACCTATCCCTGTTGTGACATTGGCTAGCAGCATTGAAGCGCATACACACTTCAAAGGTGTTCATGGAATAAATGCCTAGTTTTTGGAATTTTCTTGTGATATGGCCCATTACTGAGTACCCTTCTTTAACAGGCCCATCACTGGGTGTTTTATCCTATCTCCTGGGCCCACTGTCCAACTGGCTGTTACCTGCTCTCTCTTTAGCTCAAGCATAGACCACTCTCTGCTCCATGGTGTAAGAGGTAGGGGTTTGGTGCGCCTCAATTACTCTTGCTACCTCAACACTGGTTGCCCATCATACAGTGATGGAGGACTTAATCCCTGAGTTGCTACGGTGTTTCCATCATCTTCCCATTGGCCCATGGAAATAGGATACTAAGTGAACATAGGAGGTGTGGCAATGCCATCAGGGAAGTCCAATATGAACCACCCTTCATCCATTAAATGTTCAGCCACTTGTAGTACTTGTCTATATTCATTCCGATCCATGTTTTTTCAACTGATTGACATGGACTTACAAGATAGTCTCCTAATCTGAGAAATAGGACATTCCATTGACCTACAAGACAGTCTCATAACTTTACTTTGCATGTATATTGATGTTTGCTCCTAGATGGTACTAGTAGTGTGTTTCATGGCCTCCTGACATACCAACAAAGGATCTCTGCATAGGTTTGGAGAGTGGAAAAAATCAGAAAATTTTGAAAATCTTTCACTTTATGTTAGCAGTTTCATGAGTCATGATGTCTAGAGAGTGACAATTTCTCAAATTAATTGCTAAAATATGGTGCCTGAGTAATAGAATAATGTCAATGGCAATAGGTTAAATTGAAAAAAAATATTGGCCTAAAAGTCTTGGCTGCCCTTAATAGATATATTTTGTAACTGCAAAATGAATAATTGAGCTGTCATCAGGCCCTGCAACACAACACCTGGATATATATAGCTCAAGAATTCATCAATCAATATCCTCATTTTCTTTTGTAGCATGTCTTCTGTTCTCTAGATTGAGGCATTGCACAACTCAGATAAGGACCCAAATAAAATCTAATCTTCATTCCAACAACTCATGGCCTTTCAATGTTGATTGCTTATCTAATTTACCATGAATGATTGCAGATATGTAGCTATCTTTCTCCAACTGAAAACGATTGCTTTTTATTAAATCACAAAATAAATCACGATACATGACATGTATATCAGCATATAAAGTCCGTGTGTGACCATATCTCCACTCACCTAATTTAGTCTTATGCTGATTACCTTCATACTTTTGTACTCTAATTGTCTCTCTTGCATTGCTCCAGTGTTCCAGGTGAATCAAGAGGTTTCACAAGATTCTCCTGCCAGCACTCTCATGAAGAGCTTTGCCTGACATATTCCTGTCTCATCCAACACTAGTATTTTATTAACTTTGAAATGAGTGCTGAGCAAAAGAGCCTACCTGTGGGTGATGTGGACTCCATCATTGAAGCCAGTGAGAGGGATTGGACTGAGGTGTCTGAAGAATATCGCATCCTTCAGGTAGGCCTATCATGGTGCCAATGTTTGAGGCTCAAGGCTTGAGTAGGGATGTCAGGTGGCATTTCTACTCATTAGCCATCATGTTTCACAGAATGATACAGGATTAAGTTTGTAGCTCATTGTTTTACTATTACAGAACTACTTTAGCATCCCTACTGAGCTTAGCAACATTTATTAACTGATAGTGTCCCTGTTCCAGACCACCAACAAACCATCAACCCCTGAAAGACGCTTGTATGTTCCTATATCATGACAAACATAGCTGTTCCTGAAGCTGGAACACATCAAGTGCTATTTGTGGCTCAAGGATTAAGACTGGCTCTGGTCATGGGCTGATGGTGCTTGGTCCATAAAAAATTATGGATCCTATGCAGTTGGTGTGCTAACCCAATCTGAAATCATTTATGGATAGTCTCAGCATCTACTGGTTTAACACATTTCAACTATGTCATTGGAATCCCTTTTTACTAGGGCTGTCACAATAGATCGATGCATCAATATCACTATTAATGGTTGGAGGTATCGATAGTTTTTCTGATGTATCAGAAAAATATTTTAGAGGGAAAATGTCCCATTGGATTGAAGCGAGTACGGTACAATACAGTCCATCTGTGTAGGGAAAGAAAGGCAGCGTGACCTGCATGGGCTTGCAATTTCTTATCATGATCAAATTCTGAAAATGCTGAACTGGCTATATGAAAGACAGGAAGGAACAAAAAAAGTTGGGTTGGAGATAGGAAGTGGGGAAGGTGAGGGAGGGAAGACCGAGAATATTTTTTTCTCTTCTGTTTCAGTCTTTGGCTTGATCTCATCAGGTGCATGCTGTGAAAGTGGACTGTTCTTATACTCCCTTGATTTCGAAACATACATCGGTGGTACTTTCCCCTCTATATGTTTTGGCAACTGCCAGTATGGCACCATCAGCAGGTTTGCTCTCTGCCAGTGCCGATGTCCAAAGAAAGAAGACTTTGTAAGATGAAGAAAATGAGAAAAAAATGATATGAATGAGCTTGACAACTGATTCTCAACGGCAATAAGGAAAAATGAGGGCTGTCCTGAGGCATCCATCAATGAATGGATATCATCTTTGATATTTGGAGGTATGGTTGGTTTCATTGCTTGTTGTGAAGGTCACACCTTCCTTCCACACCTCTCAATCACAAGCGTGAGATTATGGAAGACAGATAAAGGTCCTATTGAGATGAGAAAGGATTGAATCCTCTGGTGCACCCCCCCCCCTCCAATTCATCGATACACTATCGATAGTTTAGGTCTATGCATCGATGTTTTGAAAATTACTATCGTGACAGCCCTACTTTTTACTGTAATAACCGCTGTCAGATGGTGTTCTTTCCATTGTCATGCTTTCTTTAACTCATTCCACATCTCAGTCTGATATGCCTGAGAGATTGGCTTGAAATTTGGATTGATTTTGTTGGCCTACAGTTTGATTCAAGATGAAACATGATTCATATTATACCAGTATCTGGATACCAGCAAGTATTCCTAAGAGGCCTTGGTCTATTATTGGTGGGCCTGTTGTATGCCAACAGGTATGACCAGTAGACTGCTGCTCTACTTATAATTATCTTAAAACTCAATATTTATAACCCATCTAATGAAGGAAGGGAATGTCAAGTTGATAGGCTTCCACATATCACAGAAGTGTGACCACAAATTCAAGTGACTGTTTCTTGGGTTTTGTTGAAATTTCACATCCAACACTTCACACATACATCTCTGGTATATCTGCTGGACTTTGGATGATGGAATTTTTAGTCACTGTATAAGCAGAATGTTGCAGCCTTTATAGGTTGAGTCATCATTTTGTAATGTTGTTAAGTATACTTTGTGAGTATTCTAGATGTCATATCCATAACTGCATAAAGGAAAATTAATACATTTCATGAAGAAGCTATGGACACTCAGTTTTGCAACATGCTCAGCTCAGCTGCTTATCTCAAAAAAAAATTAAATAATGCCAGGCTTTTATCTTGTTTTGTTCTTTTAGAAGAATCTGCATGACCTTTAGTTAATTACAGTGCAGGAACATGAAGGTCAAGATGCTCTCTCTCTCTTTTCAACATTTAATCATGAACAACCCTTTCATGCAAGTCTGACAATAGCCCTAATGACCTGAGATGAATGTTACCCAGTTCAGTTGGATTTCTGTTGGTTATATTATATTTTCCAACAATGAGGTTTAGTTTCACAGTGTTGTACTGTCCACAGTCACTCAAGATTCAAGCACAATAATTCTGCAGTCTCTGACATCATGACTACCCCCTCCTGTTCCACAATGATTTCAAGGGAAAATTCATTGCAAATATCAGAATTTACCACTAGGAATACTATTAGCAAGTTAATGAATTGTAGAAATGAAATTGCAAGCATGGGTGAAAAGATAACAAAGCCAGGAATCAGTGTAAAGGTTCAATGCTGACAACTTGGTGTTATTAGAAATGTATTGATGTCACAATTCATAGTTGGAGTTATCACTGATTTTGTTACCCATTGCAATGGTCACACCCCACCATGATCACAGGCAGGAGATGATGAAAGATGAAAAGTGTCCTCTGCCCCAATCAAGGCAAGAAATGACAGAAGTGAATAAGTGAATCCTCCACTCAATCATATTGAGAAATGACTGAATGCTCCTGCACCCCCCTCCCCCCTTGATTGATAACCCATGTCGATACATTGACGTTTTCAAAATAAACCCTGAAAAAAGTCATGCGTGGCTTCCTTATGGGCCCGTTTCAATAAATGTATTACTATTGTAGTTTGTTTCACAATTAGCATCAGCACCAGCCAATAATAAGATGAGAATCAGCCCATTGGCCAAAAGTGGCCATTGGTGCAGCCTTCATTCTTAGCTTTGTTACCTTCCAATTACACATTTTAAGGCAAGATTTTCCTGTGCATTCATTCACATCTTGGTGCATGAACATCCCAATGCTCTTGTCTTGTTCTAAAGTTGTAAATTTTACTGCCCTTGGCCACTGTAGGTAAGTAATTCTCTTTTGATGTTAGTTTGAATTCTTGATCAAGTATTTTCAGTGAAATGAGATCTATGTTCACATTTCAAATATAAAGGATGTTCTCATGGATTATCCTGAACGTCCCTTATGGTCAAGAATTTCATAATAACTGTGTAACATATTTTGCTGAATTCATTATATATGTTGACCTTGAGCAGAAAAGCCACATCACAACTCTAAAAAAAATAGACAAGAAAATGGCATGGGGCATTCATATTGCAATGACGAGATGTATTTGTATGAATGATCAAATTTTGGGCTCAAAATGCACAAGTGGGAAGAAAGAAGGCTCAGAACTTTTTGATTATCTTTTGTATCTTCTGCATTCTTGTTTCAAGAAATTAAAACGTTCAACTTCTGAGGAAGTGACTGTTTACTGTTTGATTTACCTCAGAGAGAGGTACTATGGAGTGCTACTTACCTCTGTTCCACCACATATTGTGATGCTGTTAATGTGATCATGTGATGCGTGTTTTGCTATTTTACATGTTATAAAGCAAAAAAAGACTAAATGCAATTTAGACTGTACTAACACTTCATTGTAACAATGAAAATGCTTCAAAACTATTTTCAATTACTCCAATTTACCCTGATTATTTCAATAAGTCTTACACCACGCTGGACAGTTACAAAAGTCTACATAGCTGTGAGATGAGAAAAGAGGACATGATGTTTGAATGACCCATTGGGAATTGAGGACAACTTTTATTCAGGCGGTTGGCCATTGTACTTTGTATGACTCACATCTAGTTATTGGCAAGGGAAATCATGACTGTATGCAGATGACACCATTAACAGGAGAACTAGATGATATTGTATTGTCAGTAATAAATGATACCAAGCACAGATTGTTAAATTACTATCTGAACATTCCCCAACAAAAGGGTCTTCATCACTCACTGCTCAGTGAGCTTGCCAACAACATAGGGATACTGTCTTGTTTTAAAAGTAGCAGGAATTATCAACTCTAGGTGCAGTCATAATTTGCAGCTTCAATCCACTCTGTCAGGAAATGTTTTTGCACAACCAACCTAATGGATGGAGATGCCCATCATTTCATTAGGCCAAGTTTATTTACTAAAAGAGTGTAGAGGGTAGATGAGGTAAGTGGAGTGTGAGCAATAATATGCTCTTGTAGGACTTCACCTTCTCCTACCATGATGCAGCACTAGTTATATTTGTTATGCCTGTCACTTCCAGCTCTTGGTTTTCTTTTTTTTTTTTTCTTTACTGTACGAGTGTCAAACTTGAATAAATGTTGTTTGTACGATCTCATGTGTAGGACATACACCAAGAATATATCACAAAGCTGGAGGAGCTGTCAGAACTGCAAGGGAGATGTGAAAAGGAGCTGAAGCATCAGCGATATAGACTTGGCCAGATCAAGTCCAGTCTGAAAAAGTGAAGATCCTCTAATAATTTTTTATTTTTACTTCTCCTTTTCTTTCTCTCACAGATTCCTAAACATTTGTTCACAGGGTTAAAGGAAGTGAGAGTAATGAAAGAAGGGAGAACCTGGAGAAGGACATTATGCGAAGGGAGGCTCAGTTGACCAAAGTTCAAGGGAGCCTTCCTCAACCGAATGGGAGATATCTTTCTGTCATTTTAGGATCAGTGAATGTTTCCATCATTAACAGAGACCATAAGTGAGTTCAATCATCTAATCCTATCAACCTCAGAAATGTGCACCATTTTAAAATTGATTTGATAAGGAGTGCAGAGGGTATGTAAATTACATAGATAAAATTCAGCCTTCACTTATTATTTTCTGGGATTTCTGTTGGGCCATGTTCTTCCATGGATATTAACCCTTTGACTTGACACAGGGGGGATGGCTGATATGTTTTCATATAAAAATTGGCCCTGCTTGTTTAAAAACAATAGTTTATGTAAGATAATTTCATATCTTGATAACTATTGAAGATAGCAGTTACATGCATAAATAGCTGTGAAGTAACCTAGAAACTGAATGTTCTGAGCCCGAGAACATACCCATGCTACCACTGCATAAGCCTGAGTATGTACTCAGGCAAACAACCAAAGGGTTAAGACAAGTTTTGAACATTGCTATGCTAGTTGGATAAGCCCAGGTGGTGCAAATGCAAGATCCAGAATAGATGGTCAAATGAGAGACATGATAGGACCATTTTTATCCATGCAATGAGAGTTTATTGGACTTCCCAGAGTAAATTTCATTGCATTGCTCTCTGGCAATATATATATATTTCATTTTATAGAAATTTAATACATCTTTTATATAGACAGTTACTCATAGATCCAAAACTAACATTTTAAAGTTTTGATTTGCTTTTAACCTCTTCAGATCCTGTGGCCATGCCAAATATCAAAATGTTGAAACCCCTGATCACATCATTTTTACATCATGAATCACACTGTAAGCCATAGCAGGATTAAAGAGAGTTCACAAAAAAATATATATATGGGCCTCATTGCATTCAGTCTGCATCTCAGTAGGGGCTTGTAAACTTGGTACTTCTGTGAATATGGTTGTCTACATTGTCTCCAACCATAAAAGCTCATATCAATTGCTCCTTATTGACCTCATAATGAAGATGCACATTGAACTACATTATCAGATAATGTGGGAAACTATTTAGAAATAATGGAATATCTGACTTATTATAGATGGTATGTACACATGCCATGTGAGGCATGGCACCAGTAAATTTGGAATTCAGGGTCAAATATCATGGAACTCCTTGGATCAGTTTGGATACAGGGGCATGGATCTACCTGAGATGTGTTCAAGCTCTTCCAGCACCAGGTTGACAAAAATGACAAGGAAGACCAGAAATAAGACAAAGACATGGACAGTGGCAGATCCAAGGGGGGGCACCACTCATGATTGTTTCAGGTACATATTCGCAGGCAGTGCCTCCTGCTTCATTACCACCTAAGGAAACCCATTTCTTGTGGTGCTGTTTACATACTGGGTACTTGAAAAAGTGCAACCACAGTATGGAGGGCCCAGGAAATTACTGACCACCAGGGCTGGATTAAGAAGTTGCGAGGCCTGGGGCAAGTGGATTCTTGGGATGTCCCCCAAAACAATTTACACGGTGGTGCAAGTAGCCTAGATGAGCCACACAGTCAAGTGGTGGTGGTGAAAATTTTGATTTTTATCATCTGCTACTTCACACAAGTACTAAAAATTTTAAATTTTCTTCAGGGTGAGGGGCCCCAGAAAGAATGGGGCCCAGGGCAACAGTCCCCTTTGCCCCTCCCTTAATCTGGCCCTGCTGACCATTCCCTAGCTAGTGGTGAGGGATATCACTCTGCTTTGGTATTTTCGAAATACTGTTCAGCCTAATGGCTACTATTGTTGATGCAATGACAGAGACAGGGGCCTATAAACATTTTAAAATATGATCCTTGATTATTGGCTTCCATAAGCTTCTTTTACTGTAAAAAAAAATGCATGTTGTCAATCGCACACCTCTATGGTGTACAATTGACCCAGTGGCATGTATACATGCCACTCTATTCCTCTAATACCAATAATGACAACAAATAATGGCTTCCATGCTTTGCCCATTGGAGGTGGAACTTAGGCAATGAACCAAAGGATTTCAAAATTGGCATGTAACTTTGCCATTGGCTCTGAAGAGGTTAAGGAAAAAATTCTAACAAGTTTTGTCCTTACCTGTTTGTGTCAGTCATGAAAAGACCTTGTCCAGATAGGCATTAAGCAGAAGTGGTCTCAACTTGAAATGCAGTGTGTGCAGTCTGAAGGGATATGTGATTAAATTTTCTCAAGCTATTGTCTTAAGGAGGAAATAAGAATATCAGATCTCAAATTTTTATATTTTAATGGCCCATTCCATTTGGGTTCATGGTGATTGTCCTGCAATATTTACTTTGTATCTTCATAGAGAATGCCAAATACATGGAGTACCTGTGTCCACATATATGGATTAACTTCTATGAATTTTCAGCAGTTTTCTGTAAAATTCTCATGCCTTTGCAATATGTCATGTTAATACATATTATCTCATGTTTCCATGTGAACATTTAAAATAAATTTCAGCTAACATCCAGGTCAATGGCAACATGGCATCAAGTTTTTACAGAGCTGGTCAACCATTACCAATGACAGTAGTGCTGCTACTAAATCTGAATGTTCTGAATCTTTCTTTTCATGCCAGAAATGGTAACATATTCAGTTGACCAAGAAGGTTTGCATTTTTTATTCACTAACTCTTATCATCAAAGCATATAGTGTCAACCAGATTTTAAAAAACTTGCTTTGTTCAATATTTCAATTTTTGAGGGGTTTTTGAGACAAAGCCACAAGATTTCATGAATTAATGCAATTTTGGGTTAAGTATTTCTGTTATATATTGTAATTCTCTAGATATTACTTTGATAGCATAAAACTAATTTTTGTTACCTCTGGAAATGTTGCCAGCAAAAATTTTACTTGTAATGGGACCCTCTGGGAGTTATGACCAAACAGGTCAGTTCTGCTCCCTGTGAGTCCCAACAAATTTTTTGTAGAGACTATAGATGAAAATTAACATTACCATGATACCAACTCAAAACACCCTGTCAGCCATAAAGCCATGAAGTATGTCTACATGAAATATGTGGTATTTTTCTAAAAGTCTGATGAAAATTATGTCATAATTTTCCAGATGAGTGGCCTCCTTTCCAGCATAAACAATTTTTATTTAATGAAAGCAGGAAAGAAGATGGAAGTTTTCATATATGTATAGCCTTTCTATTTCTCCACTAGACAGTAGCATGTGACAACAGTTGAGTGAAAACATCACATATGAATGGTTTTGAAAGTCTTGATAAGATGCCTGAGAAGTGCCACGAACAGTCGGACTCTCACAGTTGGTCAATGAATGAGATTTGGAGCTATTGAGACTCAAATATGTCATCTCATCCAAGAGGAAAGTGCAAACTGAGACATGGAAAACCTTTATGCTAATCAAGACCAACAGTATCTCTGCACATACGTGGGAAAGTGAATTCTATTTACAAAATTGCAAGTCTGACTGGGATTTCTCACTATCTTCTTATAATAAAAAAAACAAACATGAAAGACCTAGGTCTGCCTCCGATGGCCTCTGAGCACCCTTCCAAGGCCATAACAAGCTGGCAACACCACCAAATTAATGAGCTACTATAAAAGAGGTAACACCAGTGTTGCAAGGTTGGGCTGGACTTAAAAAATCTTGCTACTGTAGTATAATCTGCATCTTACCCAGAAATCCCATTGGAAAATTTTTGTAAATTTGTTGCTGATACCATTCCATAGACCTGAATGCCTCATGAAGGTGACTAGAGTGCAGAAATACTGAAGCATGACTTTACAAATGGCATGGCTTAAATGTGAATTATGAATATGCTGGGCCTGGGTGTTGTCATGCTGCAGAATCCTTCACCTTGCCACCCGCTTTTCTTATTCTGAAAAGAAAGTAAAGTGGGAGGCAAGGTTTTTCTCTTTCTCACTGTGAGGTAGTAAGTCTGAATCACTGTTTATCCATTTGGTCTTACCTCACTGTGTGCACTTGTCTGTGCACTACTGTTCGAAGAAAGAGGAAAGTGGGAGTCATGGTGGTGGATTCTAATGCATGACAATGCCCATGCCCAACATGTTTTCCCTCTGCAGCAATTTCTGACCTACCCTGCTCTCCCCATGCTTCACCATCTGTCCTACTCACTGGGCTTTGCTCCCCAGTGAGTTCTTCTTGTTCCCTTAGCTAAAGAGTGTGCTGCAAGGAATGAGATTTCAGGACATTCTAAGTAGCATTGCAAATGCAATGTGAGCACTGAATCCAAAAGAAGAGTATCATTGATTCTTCCAACAGCTGAAGAAATACCAGAAAATTTATTTAGATGCTGAAGACAACTACTTCAAAAGATATAGACATCAGTAGCTGGAAAGAGTGACCACAGTGCCATAAAACATTCAGTCTCAGAACTGTTTGATCAGACCTAATATATATGTGCTAAACTGTAGGCCAGTCCATCTTCAGTGCAGCCGAGTGACATTGGGATTGTCTCAGCATATCTAAGTCAGTTTCCATTAGTTGTAGATATGCCGAGTGAGATAAACTATGTTTATACTAGAAATCGCTACTTTTAATTTAATTTTAAACTGGGGGGGCTCTTTTCTGTTCTCAGTGAAACTATTTTCACAAAACTTATTTTGTACATAGATTGATATGTTCCCAACAGGCTTTTGAAATTTCATCCAAATTGATTTTGCTAAGGCAAAGCCATGAGCAATTATTGAAAAGAAATCAAATAAAAGATCAAAGGGGCGGCTTCTATCCATATTCAGTGCCTCATCCTCCAGTCTCACTTTCTGTTGAGGACCAAGGGAAAATCTGAATAAACTTTCAAGGAAACTCTCTTGTTTTATATTTGCTGATATATCTTTCATTAATTGGAAGGAAACTTATGAAATCTATCTGCAAGAAAAAGTCCACCTAAAGAATGAATTTTAGTGGATGAGAACTTGATTTAGCCTGGATGATGCCTGCAACTGCTCAAGTGTTTCTTCCACTCTGCTTCCAACATGAGCTATTGCCATTTTTCAATATTCAACTACTTTTGAATGATTGCTCATAACAGCGATGTCCTGGAACCATGAGTTTGGAAAATAATAATAAAATATGTTGGAAATATATCCATCTATGGACAGAAAATGTTTTGCAAAAACAACTGAAGTGGGGGAGGAGATGCATCAGTTGAAAGTTGCTGGTCCTCTTTTTTTTCCTTACCATGTATATGAGGTTAAGAAGATATTCTTCTTATTCTGTCATTGTAGATATCCATTCTTGTGATGTATTTGGTGCAATTACATTATGGATCCATAACTGAAACTGAATCTGAAACTGCTTCTTTCAGGTTCAGATACAAGGAGGAATACGAGAAGTTCAAGCTCACAGTGACTGTCATTGCCCTGGTAATTGCTACAATAGGGCTCTTCACCAATTACAGGTTAGAAAAGTGAATTCACAAATAGAATGAAAATGCTTCACAAAAATATGCCTGAATACAGTTTCAGACATGTTTGTGTGAAGCATTTTCATGCCTATCTAATGAATTGAGTCTCACCAGTCCTCATATACTGCTGATCCCTTGATGATATTGCTCTCCATTAGATCTGTCTTCCTTTGCTGGAATTTAGAGGAATAGATTTACTTTTCTGAATTTGAAGGATGCTAAAACTGATCCCCCCAAGAGCATTGGGAAAGAGATCAAAAAGGTATGTGAAGGGGTGTAAAGTGAGGTATACCTGATTTACATAAAAAGCCCACATTGTGGGCTTTTTTTATTTAAGAACAGAGAGAATATGGGATGGGTGCTACCTCACTTCTCATTGAGTGCTTTGCTAACCTATTCTCTAGCTTGGACTTTCTTGAAGTAAAAATGATTACTATTAAACATTTTGAATGGACTTGAGTGAGAGATTATCAAATCTTGGGATCTACATCATAAAAAGCACACACCGTTTATTTACATTTTGAGATCAGACATTGGTGCAATTTGGTTAAAAGGGGCAAATTGGATTTCTTGCTATATTCAGTTATGTTGAATAGGTGAGTGGAGAGGGGATCAATTTATGGCAGGGTCGAATTTCATCTCATGTCACTTACCCAATATTCTTTTAAGAACCACCTCAAGTACAGAGAAGAAGCACAGTATACAAGTTTCAGTTATTGGAATACTCTAGATTATAGAATAAAGTTCACTAGTTCCTGGAGTGTTCCTCCATTCCATTCCTCTAGAGCAGTGGTGTACAACCTTTTCCCCATATAGGGCTAAAATTGAGATTTCAGCTAATGTTTGAGGGGTTCAAGGGCCACAAGCCCTCGAACCTGAGCCGAAAGAGGCCGCATATAAATTTGAATCTTTAGAGACTGGAGGCATCCAAGGGGCCACGGAAAAGGTCTCCACAGGCTGTGGGTTGTGCATCACTGCTCTAGAGTATGAATTTGGCAACCATGGTGAAAGTTGCAGGAACATATTATGGAATGTTCCCATCCTTCTTATTGACTTAAGAATGTTTCCCATTATAGGTAACAGTGACAGCATGGTCTCTCTCTCACAGGGTTTTGGATTTGGCCTTCACATTCCTGCTGGTGTGGTATTACTGTACATTGACAATTCGAGAGAGTATCTTGATTGTGAATGGATCTCGGATCAAGGGCTGGTGGAGGACACATCACTTCTTATCCACAGCCATTGCTGGAATCCTCCTCATCTGGCCTGATGGAGAGCCATATCAACTTTTCCGCCGTCTCTTCATGGCCTTCAATGTCTACATCGGTGAACCACCCTCTCTCTCTTTCTCTCTCTCTATCTGTTTTCAGTTCTCGCTCTTCATATCTCCCTCCTCTTTTTGTTTCCTCCACAGGCATTGTTCAGTATCTGCAATACCAATATCAGAGGGGTTGTCTATATCGGCTGCACTCCCTGGGTTATCGTCCCACAATGGACATCACAATCGAAGGCTTTCATTCCTGGATGTGGATGGGGCTCTCCTTTCTCCTTCCTTTCCTCTACATTGGATACTTCTTCCAGCTCTACCTTTCCTATACTCTCTATGTTTTGAGTGGACATCCTGAGGCTCCTTGGCAGGTGAAAAAACATTCTGGCTTCTTTAACTCTTATACTCCTCTGTCTGCAGGAGCACTAAGATATAGATATACTCTTATAAGACTGTATACTGGGTGACATGGAAAACTCACTTGCATTCATTTTGCTCTTTGAAGTGGGGTAGTTTTTCAGTGTGAGTTTAGCATGGTAATTGCCAGGAAAATTCAAAGCTTTCTTTCATATGCCTCTTGAAGCCCAGGAAAAATATGACTTGGGATATAATAGGGTGGTTCAAGTGAAACCTGAACTTTCCATCTCACATATAGTAGCAGTGCATATGAGTCTGTGAGAAAAAAAGGGAAATTTCTGAAACATCCTTGATGTTCCCAATAGGGAAGAACTTAAATACTTTTTAAATGTATGTTTGCTACCTACTGGGAGCATACTCATATTGAAAATACTGTGTTATTACATTTTTATGAGCGGATTTTTTTGTGCAAATATGCACATACATATGCGCTTAAAACTGCCAAAATATGCATGAAATATGCATGAATATTGAAAAATATGAAAAAACATTTTTTTATTATTATATTTATATATATTTTATTATATTTATATACTATATTTATCATATATTTATATTTTTTTTAATGCTGTACAAATTTTTCAGAAGAAGGAACTTCAATGTACATTACATGCCTCTACTGGGTCTAGTTGGTCTATTCTTGTCACAGCCAGCAGCAAAGCCAGCAATTCACCAATGGAGAACTAAGGGAAACGAAAGGGAACTAGAATTTTCTAAACTTTTTGGGAGGGGTGGAAGTGACAGATGAATTGAAGGGCTGAAAGGCAAAGTGCTCTATCTGCAAAAAAAATTTCCTGGAGCTCCACACAAAGTGAGTGAATATTCCAGTGACTGTCATGTTAAATTTGAGGAAAAGTGGTATGTATTGATAGATCACTTCATCCTTTACTTAATTCCAAAAAAGCTATAATTTTCTGTGAAAGGAACAAGGTCCTATAAGCCCAAAACCAGTGACACTTTTTTTGGAAATTTTTTGCAAATAGATCACTTTACCTTTCAGCACTTCAATTTAGAGCAGAGTTAAGGGACTTCACCACCTCAACCTCCCCCCCCCCATGCTGCTGGTCTTCATAACTGCTTGAAAATTTTCATTGGTAGCTCAGTAAGAAAGCACATTTTCCTAGAAAACTCTTATTTTTTCACATAAAAATGGGCAAAATATGCTTAAATATGCACATATATACAGAAATATGCGCATGCTGAGAAAAACATGAAAATATGCATTTTTATGCATTTTTAACATGACAGAAATGGCTTCCTCTACCAATGAGACATGATCCTATCTGGGTTGCATGTTCCTAGGAGGCTGCAGAAAAAATATGCATTTGAATAAAAATCCACTCCCTAGTTATTACCATGGCTGAGCTGAAGACCTTTTGCCTAATTTCATTGCAAACTTATTGATTTTTAATCATTATATTTGATGTTTAAAAAATTAGGCATGTATGTGTTGTCTCATAGCTTTATTTCCCATCTTTGTCTGACCTTTGACCAATTCTACCATTAGTTCTTCTCTTTCTGCAAATTTCTTCCATTTTGGGAAAAATCTAAAATTGCAATAAATGGACCACCATTGCCGACGAACCACTCAACGGATTCTGACGAACCACTCAACGAATTCTGCATAGACTTGGCTATCATGGGCATGTTTTTCTAGGCAGAAGCCACTGCTGAGTGAGGTGAATGTGGCATCGAAAGAAATGGCTCAACAGATGAAAGACAAACCACTTCTGTATTGGAGGTGTGTCCTATGCTCTGTTGAGTCTTGATTCAAGCAATTCACATCTGGCAGCTGAACACGAGTCTGAATGAAGTCTGGAGATGTTCTTAAACCCAAATGTTAACAACCAACAGTGAATCACAGTGATGCAAGTGTGATGGTATGGGCACCGATTAGGTACCATGGCAAGACAGACCAGGGGCAGCATTTTATTTAAATCTTGAACTTAGTTAAAGCATATTGCTCAACCTCAGCCATGCATTTGAATGGGACAAATACCAGCTAGCACCTTGCTAAGAGGGAAACCACGCTTGAGAAAATAATAAAATATGACCCTTGGCATTCACTGAGGGATGCCTTGATTCAGCAGTGTACATCACTCCCCTGGAAAACAGCCTCTTGCCATTGCTTTGGCAGTGCATCTTTCAGTTTGGGACAATATCCAAAAAGATGGTGCCACCTGCCACTCTTTGAGAGCGACTACTTCCTGGAGGAAGAAGCAGAGCCTGCAACTTCTGCCATGGTTACCTCAAAACCCTGACTTGAATCCCATTGAACACATGGGGGAGCACCTTGAGTGGCAGCTGCATGCAACACGGCCATTACCCACCAATATCCAGCAACTCCACCAAAGACAACACTGAACAATCTGTGGCAAAATCTAGTTGTCATTGCTAATCTCAGAGTCCATGCCTGCTCTTGTCAAAGCTCTATAGCCTACACAATGCACATGGTCACTCCACCAGATACTGATATGTCAATTTAGGCATACTTGGTTCATTAAATCCATTCAGTTATGTGTCAATGAAGGAGAAACTCTTTTCCAAGGGTGTTTTTTCTTAAATTGGGGTGTGGGCAAGTGTCCTCTGTGAAATTCTTCTTACGTCCTTGAAATTGATCTGATCAATTCTATGACACCCTGTTACGAGCTCATGTACTATGTTTCTTAAAGTCCTCCCGATTGCCTCTATTTGGTGAAGAATACATTATTTCTTAACTACATTCAGGTAGCTGTCCTCTCTTCCTTGGTGTGCATCAAGCAAGGGGAACGGGACTGATTGAAATTTTAATGAATCAATTATCTACCTCTTGAAAATTCAGGTTTTGGTCATATGGTTACAGGAATAGGTGTAGAACCAAAACCTTTTCTCATGTGACTTATGCATCAATAGGTGCTAGGACAAAATGTCGCCGGACACAATGTTGCGGACGAAATGTCGCCAGGACGAAATGTCGCCGGACAAGATGTCGCCAGGACAACATGTCGCGGGAAAAATGTATTGGACTAATGTTAGCGAGACATACAATCGCTTGACAAAATATTCGCCTCACGTAATTAAAGATGCGCGATAGTGCTAACGATCGTGATGGAATCGTGCGTAGAGGTCAAGAAACGGATCCAAGTGTGACCCACTAGCATTTTAGAATAACCCTATCAACGAACATACAGCTAAGAATAAAACCATCTACAGATACAGTGAAAACTCGTTAACTCGAATCCTGATAAGTCGAAATTCTGCTTATCTCGAAGTTCAATGCTTGGTCCCGGCGGAACCCCGTAGGACACCGTGTTAAAAGCTCCGTTTAACTCAAATTCGCTTATCTCGAATTTCCGGATATCTCGAATAAAATTTTCACTCCCTATAACGATTTTCTCACGATTAACTCGAATTCAAGGTGAGAAGGGGGAAAAATTGTTCTTGTGAGACTTTTCGGTTTTTG